ATTGGAAGAAATCCATATTTGTACCCATTCCAAAGAAAGGTGATCCCACAGAATGTGGAAATTATCGAACAATATCATTAATATCGCATGCAAGTAAAATCTTACTGAAGATAATTCAAAAGCAGGTGCAGCAGTAGTATATTGACAGAGAACTTCCAGAAATGCAAGCTGGAAGTGGAATGAAGGATATCGTTGCTGATGTCAGATGGATCTTGGCTGAGAGCAAAGAAAACTACAAAGATGTTTACTTGCGTTTTATTGACTATGCAAAAACATTTGATTGTGTGGATCATAACAAATTATGGATAACATTGAGAAAAATGGCCATTCCAGAATACTTAATTGTGCTCATGAGGAACCTGTACATAGATCAGGAGGCTGTCATTTGAACAGAACAAGGGAATGCTGCATGGTTTAAAATCAGAAGGGTGTGTGTCAGGGTTGTATCTTTTCACTATACTTATTCAATCTGTATGCTGAGCAAATAATCCAAGAAGCTGGACTATATGAAGAAGAAAGTGGCATCAGGATTGGAGGAACAATCATTAACAACCTGCGATAAGCTGATGACACAACTTTGCTTGCTGAAACTGAGGATAACTTGAAGCACTTACTCATGAAGATTAAAGACTACAGTTTACAGTATGGATTACACCTCAACATAAAGAAAATGAAAATCCTCACAACTGGACCAATAAGCAGCATCACGATAAATGGAGAAAAGATTGAAGTTGTCAAGGATTTCATATTACTTGGATCCACAATGAATACTCATGGAAGCAGCAGTCAAGACATCAGATGATGTAGTGCACTGGGAGAATCTCCTGCAAAAGACCTCTTTCAAGTGCTGAAGAGCAAAGATGTCTCCTTGAAGACTGAAGACTAAGGCACACCTCACCCAACCCATGATATTTTCAATCACTTCATATGCATGTGAGAGCTGGACAATGAATAGGGAAGTCAGAAGAACAGTTGATGCTTTTGAGTTGTGGTGCTGGTGAAGAATGCTGAAAGTACCATGGACTGCCAAAAGAACAGACAAATCTGTCCTGGAAGAAGTACAGACAGAATGCTCCTTGGAATCGAGAATGGCCAGACTTCATCTCACCTACTTTGGTCATGTTGTCAGAAGGAACCATTCCCTGAAGAAGGATATGCTTGGTAAAGCGGAGGGTCAACAAAAAGGGGAAGGCCCTCAATGAGATGGATTGACACAGTGGCTGCAATTATGGGCTCAGGTATAGCAAGGATTGTGAGGCTGGCACAGGATCAGGCAGTGTTTCATTCTGTTGTACATAAGGTCACTATGAGTCAGAGCCAACTCAACGGTACCTAACAACAACAAGGCAAAGGAGACAGTTGTTCATGGAGGCAATTCCATTTCCTGCTTCCTAACTCTCCTTCTTCCTCTCTTGCTCCAGGTGAATAGATATCAAATGTTGTGCCTAGGATGGCTGTGTGAAACGTTTTAAGACCCCAGGCACTACACAATGAATTAGGATGTAGAACAGAAGTGTTAAGCACATTATTAGGCCAATTAACTGGGATGTCCCATGAAACTGTGACCCTACAGCTCCAAACCAAGGAACCCAATCCCATGAGGTGTTTGGTTGTATCTATGCAGCCTCTGCATAACGGCTGAGTTTTTAGAAGTAGGCCACCAGGACTTTCTTCCAATTTCCAGTCTTTTGGTGAACAACCATGCGGGGCCCTATCTGCACCACCCAGGAGCACCTTTGGATTCCTGCACAGATGGAAATCAAAGTTGCATGAATTTCAGCTCTACAAGGGAGAGCTTTTAGAGGGTCTCAGGTCCAGAAGTTTTAACCTTCTCATGCAATTTACAATTTTGAGACAGTATCTCAGGGGCTGCTGTTTACTGTAGTCCCCTTCCCCACCTCCCTCTTAGTGACCGCTACTTCTTTCAACATGGAGCAACTGTGTTTAAATAATAACAATGATGTTAATAGTCATTATCCAAGCTAACATGTGTTGGGTACTTTAGTATGTGACAGACACTATTCTAAGTATCCCACTTGTATTAATTTACTTAATCTTTACAATATACCTGTGCAGTTGAAAATATTATTATCCCATTTTACAGATGAAGCAATTGAAACTTGAAAAGTTTCGGTTTTATATATTAAGGTTCCATGTAAGATATCTTTTGAAAAAGTGTTCTATTGATAACAGGTTTTGGAAAAACCTGAATTTGTTCAAGCCCTTTATTATATACATGAGGAAGTAAAATCCCAGAAAAGCCTAGAAAAATGGAGGTTATTTGCTCAAGGTCACACATTTATTCTTTCATTGTTTTCTCTGGATGCCTGCTCTGTGCCAGATATTGTGCTGTGGCCTAGGAGTTCATAGGTTAACAAGATGTTCATGGGATATACATTTTAGTAGGAGGCCAATGGATCATATGTTGTTGTTGTTGTTAAGTGCCGTCGAGTCATTTCCGACTCATAGTGACCCCATGCACAGCAGAACGAAACACTGCCCGATCCTGCGCCAGCCCCACAATCCCTGCTATACTTGAGCCCATCATTGCAGCCACCGTGTCAATCCAATGGATCATATAGACAATAAGAAATAATAAGCAAAATAATTCCAGAGAGCACTGAGATGATAAATTTGGGGATATGTGACCAAGTGACAAGGAAAGAAAACACCAATTAAAATTGTGTGGTGGTCAGGAAAGTGTGGTGTAAGGAGGGACAGGTTAGCCAAGACCTAAATGACCAGAAGAAGACAGCCATGGGACTCCGTGGGTGAAGATCACTCTAGACAGAGGGAACTGTAAGTGCAAAGGCTCCAAACCAGGAATACTATAATGACAGAGTAGAGTCCTGTTCCAGTGCTCTTTCACCATTTGCTGCTTCTCTAGGCCCACAGAGAAGCTCCTTTGGTGTCTGGGTCTCTCTCAAGTTCAATTCCTAAGGTGCTGACTGGTCCAGGAAGGCAACAGCTGTGAGGCTATGGGTTGCTCTCCCAGAAACCCTGTGGCTGAACAGGATCTGTTTCCTGGTTCTTAATCTGGCAGGGGGCAAACAGACATCCTCTCTGCCTTGTCTCCTCAGGCTCCAGCACTAGCCCCAAATCTCTATGGCAACCCCCAGACACAACCCTGACCTGGAGGCGGATCTGGAACGGGGAGCACAAGACCATTGTGAGGAGACCACAGGAGCTGTCCAATTTACTTCTCCTGCTCCTTGTGTCCTGTTGGCCTTCTCCTCTAGCCTAGCCAGGCCCCCAAAGACCCCATGCTGAAGATTCTGCAAGTCTTCCCTGTTTCTGGGCACAGGAGGGTCTGGATGGAGACCTGCCTCTTGTGTCTGCCCCAGAAGCTGCTCTTGATGGGGGTGGCTGCCTTGACCATGTCTGCTCTGGAGACAGGTGGGTATAAGGGGGCTTGGCCAGGGTAGGCAGGAGGCTCAGATCCCCACCATTCGTAGAGATTACCACTTCCCCATCATCACTCACTCTGATGGCCTGGGACTCCTTGAGTTGGGGAAGCCCAGGAAACCATGTGCCTCATTTTGCTGGATGCTCCCAAGCCCTCTCCAAGCTCCTCTGCAAGGCTGGAGCTCCATGTCCCCTAGAAGCAGGGGCATGGGCGTGGTGGGGCAGCCCTCAGGGCTGGACTTTGGAGTCAGACAGCCCTGAGTTCACACATTCACTCTGCCTCCTCTGACATTCTTACCCTTGAGACAGTTGGTTTTGCTCTCTAAGTCTCAGTTTCTTCAGGTATCAAATGGGAATCATTATGGGCCTAATTATTATTGTGTATATACGATGAGAGAAACTACACAAGACACTTAGGTCAGTGCCTGGAACGTTGAAGATGCTCATATTGTTCACTATCTAAACCCCAACCCTACCGCGTGTGCCTCCAGGGCAGATTCTGGCTTCAGTGGGAAAATGCTCCCCCATATTGAGGTCTGATGGAGAGTTTCCTTCCAGAGGGGCAACATCCTTGCTAGTCCCAACCAGCCCCTGGTCCCCCCGCCATGAACCAAGAAACCCACCTCCTCTACTCTTTCTGTCCTTGAACACTCAGAGCTAGTTTGAACCCTGGTCTCATTCAATCCTCACAACAACCCTGTACTGCTGAGGATGTGCAGGGCTGTGATTGATGCCAAACTAACTGGGGCTTAAACCCACAGGACGTTTTTATGTCACTTAAAAAGAGTGACCTTAGGTTGTTTAAGGTGGTTAATTCAGTGGCTCAATCATGCCAGGGCTTCTCTGTAGAAGTAGATTGCCCAATAAACAAGGTAAGCATGGGCTTACTTGTGCTTACTCACTAATCTCTAGTGAACAATTTCACATGTGGTGGAAAACATAAAAGTATTCACTACAGATTAGAGAGCACAAGTAAGCCTGTGCTTATCTTGCTCATTGGGTACTCCATCTGTGTCAGGAATTGTAAATTTGAAAATAGACTTTGATTCTATAGGAAGGGGCTGTGGGGTTGGGAGAGAGACAGATGGCAGCCACACCTAGAAACAGAACTTTTGATGTAGTGAAATAAAGTGAAATTGCTCACTACAGATCAGTAAGTAAGTGCAAGGTAAGCACAAGTCAGCAAATGTTTACCTTGCTTATTGGGTAGTCTGGCACAGCTTCTCCGTAATTCTAATGACCTTGTGCTTACAAAATGACTGCTGCAGCTCTGAGCATCACATCCTCTGTCAATAACTGTCAAGAGCTGTCAACAGCACAAAGAGGTCCCTTGCCATAGTTCTTCCTCCTTTTTATCAGGAAGGAAAACTCTTCCCAGAAACCCCTAGCAGATCTCTCTTTAAATTTCATTTGCCAGAACCAGGTCACATGTTAATTCCTAAACCTGTCAAATATAATTAGGATTAAAAGGTTTGGTTTAGAGCAATCACCAAGGGGGTTGGGTTCATTGCTTCTTGATAGCTGAGGGAATTGAGTCAATTCTGACTGATAGAGACCCTATAGGACAGGATAGAACTTCCCTATCGGGTTTCCAAGACTATAAATCTTTACAGAAGCACACTGCCTCATCTTTTTCCTGCAGAATGGCTGGTGGGTTCAAACCACTGACTTTTGGTTAGCAGCCAAATGCCTTAAACACTGTGAGGGATCTTTTAGCAAGAAAAGGAATGAATGGCTGTTGGGTGAGCAGATGCCAACTGTGTCTGCCTCATCCTTGAATGAAATGATAGGAATAGCTAACATTTCTATAACACTCATTAAATGTCAGGCACTGTCCTAAGCACAGTCTTTTACTTGCAGTTCCAAAATCCAAAAAATCTCTGAAAACTAAAATTTGTCCTAAAGTAATTAATTGGCAATACCTGACCTGCACTGAGAGAAGGTTATTGTCTTTATTTGCCCAGGTTAGAGAATGTTCATACTATTGCTTTAAAAATACGAATGTGTTTGATCAAAGAGGGCTGCTGCAGACTCCACATGGAGCTGTAACATAATAGACTGTATATCTTGTTATCCTTCTAAAATCTGGAAAATTCTGAAACACATCCAAAGGGATTGTAGACTCGAATTTAATCATTTAATCTTCACAAAAATCAGAGATTGTCATTATTGCTTAATCATCTCATTTTGCTGATAAGAAAACTGAGGCTCAGAGAGGGTAAGTGACTGGCTTGTTGTCACACAGCTAGTAGGGGGCAGAGTCAGGCTTGGAAGCAGGCCACTTGGCTCCAGAATCCATTTTTCCCTGCAGCTGACCTGGTGGACCTCTGCGGACAGACGTGGCAGGGGGATAAGGCTACTGTTGCCTTCACACTCTGAGTCACACAGGTTCTACTTCATGGCCCGTGACACTGACTGCAGGCTCTGGATGTGGGCAGAGGCCCCTGGCAACAGGATCAGCTTCCAGTTCCACTTCATCCTGGTCTACAGCCTGCCACCTGCAACCCCAGTGCCCCTGGTGTCCCTGATGCTCAACACCTCTTCCCTGGAGTGGGACCCCTGTGCCCGTGGCTCCTACCTGCAGTTCTATGAGGGCCCACCAGAGACACCCCAGCCTCTGGGGGCCCCTCTCTGTGGCCTGACAATTCCTGTCCCAGTGACATCTTCTGGACCCTCCCTGGGCCTGCGCCTTGTCACTAGAGGCCACCAGCCTCATGTGGACTTTGTGGGCGAAGTCACCTCTTTCCAGTTAGGTGGGTTGGGGTGAAGGCCAAGATGAGGGATTGCGGCTAGAGTAACTGAGGGCTGTGGGACCTGGATTTCCCACTGGAGGTCCAGCCCTACCAGTGGCTTTGCTGATAGAAAGAAGGGTGGGGAGGGAGACCAGGGAGTGATGACTGGTGGGGTCAGAGGGTCACACCAAACCTCCAGAATGAACTCCATAAATCTGGTATGGGTGGATGTGTGTGCTACACCAGCCCCTGACACGCACACAGTAATATGCAAACACACATACACACAGCTCATATACACACACCCTCACACATATACACTTCCCACAGTAACATCCACGTGCTCACAACTGCTGCACACACTGAAACATACACACTTCACATATCTCACACATACAACTCACACACTGCACACTCACACAATTCACATCACACATGACTTACACACAATACACCTTGCACATTCACACACACATTCATGTTCCCACACTGGCTCCTTTGTCTGGAGTCAGTCCTTCAGATATTTGCAGAAGGGAGTAGTCAGGACTCTTGTTTGTTGTTGTTGTTATGTGCCATCGAGTTGTCTCTGACTCATAGCAACATTATGTACAACAGAGAAAAACATTGCCTGGTCCTGTGCCAGCCTCATGGTCCTTACTATACCTGAGCCCATCACTGCAGCTACCACGTCAATCCACCTTGTTGAGGGCCTTCCCCTCTTTCATTGACCCTCCACTTAACCAAGCATGATATCCTTCTCCAGAGAATGGTCCCTTCTGACAACATGACCAAAGTAGGTGAGATGAATCTGGCCATTGTTGCTTCCAAGGAGCATTCCAGCTGCACTTCTTCCAGGACAGATTTGTTAGTTCTTTTAGCAGCCCATGGTACTTTCAGCATTCTTTATTAACACCACAACTCAAAAGTGTCAACTCTTCTTCAGTCTTCCTTATTCATTGTCCAGCTGTCACATGCATAAGAGGCAATTGAAAATACCATGGCTTGGGTTAGGCGCATCTTAGTTTTCAAGGAGATACCTTTGCTCTTTAGCACTTGAAAGAGGTCTTTTTTTTTTTTTTTTAATTTTATTTTGATTTGGGTGAAGATTTACAGAGTAAATTCACTTTTCATACAGCAGTTCACATATACTTTGTCTCATGTCATTGACCAAAATTTACAAGGCAACAGCTCCCCTCCCACTTCCTCCCCATAGTTACCTCTTCCCAGTGTCCATCCCTCCATACTCTTCTGCGCCCTGAGCTGTCTCCCTGTGCATAAGCAGCCCTTCCTTCTCCCATGATTGTTCTCTCCAGGGTGTGTGTCTACTTGAGGTAAATGTTTAACTCACTTGCCTGTTCTTTGTTTGGCTGGAAACCACAGGTGTGGGTTCAATCCCAGACCTGAAGGGCAGCTAGGGGCCATAGTGTCAGTGGTTTCACCAGGCTCTATTGGACCAGCAAACCTGGTCCCCAGAAAGAGGTCTTTTTTGCAACAGATTTGCCCAATGCAATATGTCTTGACTGCTGCTTCCATTGGCTTTGAGGTTGTAAGTAACAGCAACTCAACCAAGCAGTGAAAGGAAACTCTTAAAAGTTGATATTAATAATAATCATTTCATAAGTATTGGCTTTGGCCCTCTGGGTGATGGAGCTCAACTATTCCTCGACGCAACTCTGCCCTGTTAATATCCTCATATTTGTAGATGGGGAAACAGGCTCAGGGAGGCTAACCAACATGTCCAGGCTGTCCCCGCTCATAGGTGAAGCAGCTGGCCTTAAACTACTAGAATACATCCTCCTGGTTAAATTGTGTTCAAGGCTTTAGGCCTCACAGGATCCCTGGAACAACTTGCTGAGGTCACAGCAAAAGCTGTCTCAGTGATGACAAAACCATGAAGCGTTATCATGATCTCTGGATCCAGACTGGACAATTCCAGACTGAATAAAACAATATGGACCTGTGAGCACTTTGAGACAAGAGCAGCCTGCCTCCTGCAACCCCAGTGCCCCTAGTGTCCCTGGTGCCCAACACCTCTTCCCTGGAGTGGGACTCCTTTGCCCCTGGCTCCTACCTGCAGTTCTATGAGGGCCCACCAGAGACACCCCAGCCTCTGGGGGCCCCTCTCTGCGGCCTGACCATTCCTGTCCCAGTGGGATCTTCTGGACCCTCCCTGGGCCTGTGCTTTGTCTCTCTGAGAGCCAGCACAGGTTTGCCAAAAGGTAGACCTTGACAAGCCTAGCTCCAGACAGCCCTTTAACACCTGAGAGGATGGGAGAGCACCCCCATGTGTTCTCACTTGTCTGTTTAGTCAAGTCCCTCCTTTCTTCTTCCTTGTATATGTGCACAGTCTGAATTTTGGGTTTTAGATTCTCTCACTTCCCCATTGGAGTCTCTGGCTCTGGAATGATCTACAGGCCTACCTGATTTTATTGCACTTCACTTCATCATGCTTTGCAGAGATTGCATTTTTCACAAATTCAAAGTTTGTTGTAACCCTGTGTCAAGCAAGTCTATAGGTGCCATTTTTCCAACAGCATGTGCTCACTTCATGTCTCTGCATCATTTTGGTAATTCTCACGTTATTTCAAACTTTTCCATAATGCTATTGCACATTTAATAGGCTGCAATGTAGTGTGAACATAACTCTAATACGCACTGGGAAACCAAAACATTTGTGTGACTTGCTTAACTGCTATATTTGCTTTACTGAGGTGGTCTGGAACCGAACCCACGATAGGGATCTCCAAGGTATACCCACATGTGAAATGTGCACCCTAAATCCTTGTGGCCACGATCAGTGGTGCCTGGGGTCCCTTTCCGGCTCCTGTCAGATGTAGCAGGCGAAGGATCCTATTCTGTTGCTTTGCAGAGAATTCTCACTGGCTGATTGGAAATCAGCCCAGGAACATTGTACTCCTCCCTTCCCACTCCCTCCCTGGGGCCTTGCCCTCCTTTGAGATGCAGCTGTCAGCCATGGAGGCCAAGAATGTTGCAGCTGCTCTGTGTTTTTAGCAGAACGGGGCTCAGAGAGGAGAGGGCAGCAGTGCAGCCCTATCACGACCCTGGCTTCCTTGGGTCTGTTTTGTGGTCTGAATCAGAAGACGTTCATTTTGTATCCTCAGGCCACAATTACAGTCACAATTGCTTACACCTGCCAGCACACCCCACTCACATAGAACTCCTGATACATTCCCTTGCTAAAGTTTGTGTTTTCTCTCTCATTGACATTCACTCTTCCCCCATAGGGTATTTGCTTTCATTTGCAAATGAAAGAAACCCACTCAAAGTGTCTTAAGGCAATGGGATCTTGGGATGGATCCTAAATTGAGTTATTAATGGGTGCATTCAGGTATAGTTGGATCCAGGAGCAGAAATAATGCCACCTGGGCTCTGTCTCTTTTTTTCTCTCTCTCTGTCTTCGCTCTGAGTGGGTGTGTTTGGCTTCCAGCTCAGGCAGCTCTTTTTCTACTTGGCAGCTGTAAGTCTGCATCACCCATACTGTTCCAACCTCAACAAAATCAAGAGCAAGCATCTTTTCTAATGGCTTTAACAAAAGTCCTGGGGCTGAATCTGATTAGTCATGTGGCTCTTATGACCATTCCTGTGAAATGGAATGCTCTGATTGGCCAGGCCTGCATCACATACCCACCTTTGAGCCTGGTGTCAGTCAGTCTCACCTCAATTATCTTTTCTCCCTAGAATGGGACGCTAGGTAAGCACACTTGTCTGCCATAACCTGTACATTCTGTCATATGTTTCATTCACCTGTGTGTACGTTCATTCATTTAACACGTGTTAATTGAACACCAGCTATGCTTCAGGCACTACTCTGGGCTCTAGGGATACAGCAGTGAACAGAACACAAGTCCCTGGCCTCTTGGAGCTGACATTTGTGGAGGAGCAAACAATAGCAAGTAAGCAAGTAAATACGTAGTCCACAGATGGTGGCCAGTGCCATAAAGACAGTTACATCAGGGTGAGGAGGATAAGAGTACTGGCTTGTACAGATGCTACTCTTATACGGAGATCAGGGGAGACTTTCCAGACAAGGTGACATGTGAGTAGAATCTGAGGGACTGAGCATATAGTTACCTGCGGAAGAGAATTCCAGGCAGAGCTGATGATAAGAGCAAGGCCCTACATGAGGATTTGCTGAGGGGATTTAAGTTTACTGGATTTCCAAATTTTCCATCACAGGGAGAAGGCAGAGGTCCTGGGGATGTCCCGAGACACTGGTGTGGTGGAAAGAGGGTGGGCTTTGAAGATCGACAAGGCTGACTTCAAACCTCAGTGCTTCCCCTTCCTAATGGTGAGCCTTAGGCAATGGGTACCCACCTCCCTGCATCTGTGCCCATCTCCAGAACCTTCCACCTATTACTGAAGATGAACCATGAGGGCCCCTCTCTGAAGCCAGTCCCTCCACATGTGCACATACACAATTCCCTCTTATCTACCAAGGGCTAGACTCACCCCAATTCTTCCACCCATCAAATCTGGATCACTGCCATCCTCAGGCAGATATGCTGTTATTTCTGCCATTAAAACACCACCAACACCAGCAAATTCTTGATGCCATTACCTCTTCCAACTACCACCACATTTCTCTGTCATTTTACAGCAAGAATCCTTGGAAGAACAGTCTAGATTGACTGTGTCCAGTTTCTCTCCTCCCAGCCTCTCTTGAACCCACTCCACCCAGGCATTTGCTGCCATCAGCCACTGAGACAAGATCACCAGCGTCCTCCATGTTGCTGAACTCAAAGCAAAGTCCTCATCTGACCTGGCCTCCCAGCAGCACTATATGAGCTTCATCACTCTCTCCTTCCCACAGGACCCCAGGAGCCACATCGTCTCAGTCTCCTTTGCAGGTTCCTCAGTATCTCCTGGAATCCTTGGGTGGCACAAATGGTTAAGTGCTCAATTAGCTGAAAGGTTGGCAGTTCAAACCCACCCAGACACATCTCAGAAGACAGGTTTGGTGACCGTCTGAATGGTCACAGCCTTGAAAACCCTATGGAGCAGTCTACTGTGCACGCACGGGGTCAGCATGAGTCAGAATGAACTTTACGGCACACGACAGTATCTCCCTGACTCACACACTATGCTTTGAAGTGTCCCAAGGCTCAGTTCCTAGAGCCTCTTCTCCATTCATGCTCATTCCCTTGGTGACCTCATCTACTTACGAACTATGTGCCCTTGACCCTGGCTCTGTTATCATCAGCTGGACTTGTCCTTGAGCTCTAGTCATGTAACCGCCTCCCTTCTCACCATCTCCTCACAGATGTGTAGGCCGCACCTCAGACTGAACTTGGGGAAATTGAACTCCTGACCTCCCCTTCCCCTGCTCCTGGGCAGCCCTTCCTTTGTCACTAAGTGGCAACTTCAGATCCCAGTGGCTCAGGCCCAAAGCTTGTAGAGTCACCCTTCATGCCTTTCTCTCCTCCATCCAGAAGTCATCCACAGTCGTTCCAGTCCTCATCAGATTCTGTGGATTCTCACACCTGTTTGGCCACCACTTGTCCTGAGCCACCACCATCTCTTAACTGGGTTGTTGCGATAATGTCCAAACTGGTCTCCCCAATTCTGTCCTTTGTCCCCTAACTGTGTATTCTTCCCACAGCAGCCCAGAGGGATCTCTTTTCCTCCTTCCCTTCCTTTTTTTCTTTCTCTCTTCCTTCTCCCTTTCCTCCTTCCTTCCCTCACACACACACTTCCTTTCTGCTGTCCTCCCTACCCAGCCACCCCCTCGTTTTTTAAAAAACTTTTAATAGACCTATTTTTTCATAGCAGTTTGAGATTTACGGAAAAACTGAGAAGACACTAAAGAAAGTTCCCATGTACCTGCTCCCAGGTTCTTCTGTTATTAACATCTTGCATTAGTATGACATACTTCTCACAATCAATGAACCAATATCAATATATTATTTTCCTTCTTTTTAAAATAGTTTATTTTTTCTTGTTGAGAATATACACAGCAAGATACAGCAATTCAACAATTTCTACATGTAAAGTTCAAAGAAGTGATACGTTTGAACTACAGTGTTGGTGAAGACTATTGAATATACCATGAACTGCCATTTGACACCTATTTATTTTTGTATTTTGTCAGTCTCACTGTACTAAAATGCCAGTCCCATGAAGATATTTTTGTCTATTTTGCTCAGAGCTGTATTCCCCCATCCCTAGAGCAATGTCTGGGCTACATATAGTAGGTGCTCAAGAAAAACTAGTCAAAGCAATGAAGAGTGAATCTCTCCATGCCTCAGTTTCTTTATCTATAAAATAGGGATGACAAGCCTACCTGTTAGAGTTGTCATAGACTTTAAGTGTGATATTAAAGGTAAAGGGCCCACAGCACAGTGCTAGGTGCACAGAAAATGCTCGGCATGAGAGCACCCTCCTTCCCTTCAGTGGTTTAGGTGCACCGTGAGAAGTGGTCCTGTTTGCAAACCTGAAGCTAGACTGCATGAGTTTAAGTCCTTGCCTATCACCTCCAGCTTCATAACCTTAGAAAGGATTTACACTCTGGGTGCCTTATTTCCCTTTCTGTAAAATGGGGATATTAATAACCACAGCCTAAGAGAGGGTGTGTTAGCTCTGTCATATCCCACTGCAGGTCCTTCCCCAGTGTCTAGCCAGGCCCAGAGCACAGATGGCGGCAACCCTCTGCCCGATTCTCTTCCCGGTGCTTGGGTCTGCAGGGCCCCTTGGGATTGCCACCAAGAGATCTTCTGCAGGCCAGGACCCTGTTCTCCAGGATGCAACAAAAGGTGGACAGATGGCTCCTGATTACCCCTGTGCCTTCTCCTTCTGCCAAGATCCCTTACTGTGTCCCTCTCTGGCCGTGGGGACTGGAGCAGTATGCCCAGGCTGTGAGCTCTCTCTTTCCTTCCTTCTGCAGATCCCCAGCTGTGGAAGACGGCACTGGCCTCCTCAGTGTTCCTGGCTTCCACTGGCCTCCTTCTTGGCCTCTTCTGGTGCTGTTGCTTCCCCTGCCAGCTGGCCGGGTGGGCAGGGGCCCAGGGACACTGTTTCAGCTACAGTGCAGCCTGCACCGCCTGCTATGCATGTCCTGGCCAGGCTGCCCCTGAGGAGCTGCGGCCAAGTGGGCCAGCCTTCTAGGTCAGGAAGGCCATCCCTAGAGAGGCTGCAGGTGTTGGAGGAAAAGAGTGGGCTCTGGGGTCAAACAGTCCCTGAGGCCTAAAGCTCCCTTGGGTGGGTCACTTAATTCTCTGAACACAGTCTGCCCCTCTGGAAAATGGGGTGATTCCTGCCTCACAGGGTTGCTGTGAGGGCCACAGGAGTAACCTGGCACACAGTAACCAGCCCCGTAGCTTGGGTGGCAGCTGGCACTGATGGTGAAGGGCAGGTCCCCATGCCCAGGGCAGGGAGTAGGTGCCTTGATAGTCTGAAGCTGCCTTGCTTCCCTCCCCGACCTTACCTGCTCTGCTGTGCCCCAACCTGGCCCTCCTCGGGTCCCACCAAGTCAAGCGCTAGTCAAAGACACAGGAGATAGCCCTGGCGGGGATAGCACCGTTTATTTAAGAAAAACCAAGACAAAGACCACAGGAGGGTCCCTTCTAGGACATGGAGGTCAGGTGGTCTGACCCCACAGTCTGGGACTGGTGGTGGGAGAGAACTTGCCCTAGCTGGGCCCTCAGGCTCCTACAGATGGAGATGGCCTGTTGTCTCCTCTCCATCTTCCCAGTCATGGGCTCTGGCTCCCCTCTCATCCAAGGCACTAACTCCTAACCACCAATGCCCTCTCCCACTGTCCCCTGGGCCTTCACTTCCAGATGGATGGTGGGATGTAGCCTGGTGTGAGTGGGGAGACCCTCAGTGCTGGGCTTGGATGGCAGCAGCTCCTGGTAAGAGTTGGGGTGGGGTTTCCCTTGTAGCCCCTAAGGGTGGGGTTCCTGGACTAGGTACTGGGGGAAGCGGGCCAGGAGGGCTTGGTGGGAGAAGGGGAGACTGGCTAGGAAGAGGTGGAGGGGCTGGGACACAGGCTGGGGAGGGGAGGGAGCTGCTGCCTGGGGTGAGCTGCCTTTTGCTCCATGGCTGGTACTCAAAGAGCTTTCACAACCCAGGGGTGGGTGGCAAAGGCTGTGGCTGGTGCCTTTCTGTTCAGGTAGCTGGTGAGGCACCAGGTTGTAAGCCAAGGTTAGAGTGTCCAAAGGGCTTTCATAGGAATGAAGGCTACCCAAGGGCTGCAGAGATGGGGGAGTCCAGCTCTACCTTGGGGAGTTCCACCTGGGGGGCAGTAAGGGCAGTTCTGGGTCCAACCAGCCACCATGCCTAGCCCAGTTCCTGGAGGCCTTCTGAAACCCAGTTACGTCCAACCCACCCTGCCTATCACCAGCCTTGTGGCTTTGCCCAGGTGTATGTGTGTGTGGGGGTGGTATGTCCACCCTCCAGTCCAGCCCAGGGCGGTAGCAGCAAAGCGTGGCATCGCCTCCGTTTCTTACAAAAAATTCATAATAATAATATTAATAATAATATACTTGACATTTTTGGGCTGGGGCGCTGCCTGGGAGTCTGTGTAGGGCAGGTGGGTGCCTATGAGGGGCAAGGTCGCGTGTTGGCCCCTGCCTGGGCACGGTGCTGTAGGTCCAGGGGCTGTGGGGGTGGGGCGCCAGGCCAGGCAGAATGCAGCACCAGATTCTTGATACAGCCTGTGATGCCTGTGGAGAATCTGCCCCCAGTCAGCATGGCGACATCGGGGGCCCCGCCTGTGGGAAGAGAAAGGAGGGGGGTGCCCTATCAGCTGCCAGGTCTAGGTTCTAGGAATCCAGGAGGGGAGGAAGGTCAAGTTTGCTCCAGCTCTGGAGGAGTCCCGTTCCCTCCCAAAGACCACACAGGTGCAGGTCCACACAGAGACCTACGTGTAAGACGTACCAATGTAGATGCTGCTCTTGGTGTTGACTGCCACGTTAGGTCCTGGGGATTGGCCGCTGACTAGCTCCTCACCGTCGACCTGGATGGAGCCTCTCTGGCCCTCCCTTCAGATGAACTGGGTCAGGCTCCTCACCACACACTGCCCACCCTCCCCTACCCAATGCAGAGTTCCACTCTTTGCCACAGAGACTTCAGGCTGAGATGTCTGCCCCATCCCCTGAGTGTTTTCCTCCTCCCACTGGAGGAGAGAACTGGTCCCACAAATACCCTGTCTTAATATGCCCCTGCTACAGTGCTTGCCTGCCCTCCAGCCCCGCCCTGGAGTTCTGTGCTCTGGTCTGTGCTGTTTGGCTGGTATCTTCTCCCTCTGTCCCAGCTTCAAGTTCTGCCTACCCAGAGTTCAGCGCTTGCCTCTCTGCCCATGGGGGGGCACCATGTCCCACTCCAAAACTCTGGGTACCTATCCCTCGTGCCTGGCCAGCCACTCTTACCGCAGTGCTATCACCCGATGCCACTCGCCGTCATTGATGGGGTCCTCGGAGACAAGGCGGGCCTCCCCACTGCCCAGCTGGTAGCTGCAAGTCACATGAGTCCAAGAAAGTATAAGCTGGGGCAGGACTGATGGTGTGTGTGTGCGTGTGTGTGGGGGTGCTGAGGAGCTGGGAGCTGTAGGTTCCCATGGGAGGAATCATGGGGTTGGTCAGAGGGGAAGCCATGTGAGGGAGGTGGGAGGGAGAAGATGGATTAGGGTGCTAGGACCATCTACCTGAAGACAAGCTGCCCATCCTGCAGCCCAAGACTGATGAAGTCCTTGCCTTGGCTGGTCTCTCCCACCATCTGCCAGGGAGGCATGGGGTTCTCTGGGGTCCCCAGTCTGATAGCTGGGGACCCCAAGACTGCAGCTCTGCCTTCCTCCCTTTCCATTGCCCCTGCCACCAAGAGGTTGGCTTCCTGTCCCCAGACTCTCCAAGGCTTCAGGGCCAATGGCTACTCACCATGCCCTGCCAAAGCAGGAGGCCATTGGCTGTGCTGGTTCGCACCTCCAGCTCGATGGTCTCAGGTGCCTCAGGAAGGCTGTAGGGGGAGCAGTGGGTGAGGGGCACCACAGGGGCCCACATCCCAGGTCCCCTCCCCATCTCCCTGGATGGAGCCTCTCTGGCCCTCCCTACTGGGCCCACTGGTTCTCCCAATACAAGCTCACCCCCTGGAGAAGCTGTGGCCAGGGAGGACGAGGAAGCCACCATCATGGAAATAGGCTCCATACTGCCCAGGAGCATCTGTGGAAGAAAGAGAAATGGTGAGGAACGCCCATCCATCCTCTGCTCACCTGATCACCACCTTCACACCAACATGAACCGCTACCCAGCTCTGAACCTGCAGCCCTGGAAGCCTAAAAGGCCATGGATAGAATTCAGGGGATCTGTGAACTTGGAAGTAGGAGCCCCGTGGTGCAATGGATAAGTGCTCAGCTGCTACCGAAAGGTTGGCAGTTTGAACCCATCAGCCACTCCAAGGCAGAAAGACATAGTCTGCTTCTGTCAAGATTTACAGCCTTGGAAACCCTATAGGGAAGTTCTACTGTGTCCTGTAGGGTCACTATGAGTCAGAATCAACTCCATGGCAATGGGTTTGGTTTTTTTGGTTAGTGAACTTGGGTGGGGAAAAAGTCCATCTTATTTTCACTCACTTCTCACTGAAAGTTAGCAGTTCATTTAATTATGGATGTAACCAACAAACCACAGTAGCAGTAGTAGGACCTGAGACTGTGTCACTAACAGAAGTTACACATGTTTACTTATCACATGAAAGTAGTTGAAATTATTGTTCATGCTTATCCCTGTTTTGAAATTGTGATAGCTATTAGATTCATACTATTAATTTAATGTGTCTATAAAGAAGTATGTATATTATAAATCAGCAAATTTATATTTTGTAACCTTGTTTGGGTATAACTGGTTTCCTTTCAAGTCCTATATATTTTATTTTGTGCAGTTGACAAGGTCCACAGAGGGTGACCAACCACCTTATTTGTCCTGGTTTTAGTACTGAAAGTCCCACATTCCAAGAAATCCTCTAGTCCTGAGCAAAGAGTCGGTCACCTAGGCCTGTGGCACACAAAAGGTTAGGATGCCTGGGAAGATAGGCTCAGAATGATATGATTCCCAGGAAGTGGAAAGCCTGGGTCACAACCTGGACCTTTCAGCTCTGTTGTCCACACAGTGCATGGCACCCACGTCCCTGGCCCTTCTGCTCACTGCGCATCCTCCAGGCCAGCTCCAGCCACTGTAGGCCTGGCAGCTATGTGGGCAGGGGACACTTTGCCAGTCTCCACCTGATGGTGAGGATAAAAGCTTACATTTATCCAGCACCTACTATGTGCTTGATCGTTTCATTAGCTGAGTCCTTAGTACCACCCTATGAATTAGATGTAATATTAATAACATTCTGTGCTCACTCTGTAGCAGATACTGTTCCAGGCATTTAAAATATATTACATCATTTTACCCTCACACAGAATTTCATCCAAAGCCTCATGGAAGGATGTTACTTATCTCTACATTATACACAAGGCAACTGAGACACAGAGAGGTTAAATGATTTGCCTACTATCACATAGCTAGTAAGTGACAGGGTTAGGATTTGAACCAGACGGTCTATGTTTGTAACTAGCATATCACCGTCTCACCTATTGTATGAGTAATGAATAAGAAGTCACATGTCTATAAAGCAGTTTGCACAGTGCCAAGGACATAGCAAATGCTCAATAAGCATTCATTCTTTATTATTATCTTCACTTTAAAACAGATTGTAGAATCCTTGAGAGCAAGGATCCTGTTTTATTCATCTTAAACTTCCTGGTTCCAAGGCAAGAGTGGACATATAACGGATGTTTTTTGACTGAATGCAAGGATACAGAAGAGGAGACTGAGGCCAGGGAGGTAAGGACTGCTCAAGTTTACTTAGCCAGTAAGTATGGGGTAGGACCCTGCTCTGTGTGACTATGTTCTTTATTCTGCCCACCTGTGCCCAGTGAGCCCCTCACGTGACCCTGTCTTGCTTGGAGCCCAGAAATGAAAGTATGGGTCATTGGAAGAGAAGGAGACAAGCTTGCCCAGCTTCTCTGGCTGCCCACAGCAAGTACGTACCATTGCCCCCACTGCCTTCAAGATGCCACTCGGACTCCTCTGTCCCATGTCCAGAGCCTGCAGGGGAAGAGCAGAGTCTAG